AACTTAGGTATGAAAGGGGAAGGTCATGAATTGAGCACCCCACTCACCTGATCAAAGATCGGCCTCTACTAATCATGATGTAATTTTTATGTATAATATATGCTCTTGTTCTAATTATTATGCTAACTTTACTATGTGAGGCACGCAAGTATAGACTAAGTCACTCACTTTGGAATGCTTTGATTTTATATTTGCTTTTTTCTTTCTTTCTTTTTTTTTTTTTAAAGAGTTTTGAATATGCTACTGCTTGAAAAAGCTAGCACATATACACATTAATCAAAAGCATCTCAACTTAAGCAAAATAGCCTTCATCCACTGGCATTCAAGAGGTATATCAAATAAGTAGTTAGCCTCATGGTAATATGCTTGTTATGGCAACAAAAACATTTATGCAACATGATAAAGCAAAAATGCTCACCTAGTACTCAACCGGCGCAAGCCCAAAGAGAAGAAAATAGTTAGAAAAATGCATGTTCTAATATGTAACTGACAACACAAAAAAATGCAACTATTCTTGTATACTCTTTTGTTATGAATCTACTCTTTTGTGAGATGTAGACTTCTCTCTGGCCAGTTCAAAGAGGATCAAGCTAATGATTGGTTTATTAATGAGTGGCAACTACCATTATCTATACTGAAATCTCATGCCTCTGTATGCCTCTGCATCAACTATAATTGCTAGTTACATTTCACCAGGAATGTAGGCATGAAATTACTTAATCCTAAGTTGTCATCAGATCTAGTGTTTGCTGCTTTTTACAGTACGTCCCCCTCTCATATTGCCATAAAAACATAAGAATCTAATATATGGAGTTTCAAGGTATCCTGAAGAGTTAGAATTTTGATATTGATGTTTCAGATGTGTGTTTTTACAGCAGTCATCATTTTTGTTTAACAGGGAATAATCCCTTTGATTTTGAGCCTTTAACAGTTCTCATTGCTTTGTGAATGCAAAAAGTTAAGAGAGGTGTGGGGGCCAAGTACTGGGACTCATGAAGAGGCCGAATATTCGGACCTGGGTCGAAGCATATAATTCATTCGAACTCGTCCCGCAGTTTAAATCCTGCCCTATTTGGCCGTATAGCCGATTGAGTATGGGGCCGAATGAGAAACGGTTTGCTGCGAACCAAGCCGAATAGACAATTACATGGCAAATTGACAGTGGGCTCATTCCCGAGGCCCAAGAAGGAGAGTAATATAAATACAAGATCATCAGTCAGAGGAAGGTATGTGAGAACTATTATGCTTAACTTAGAATACAAGTAATCCTGAGTATAGAGACTGACTTTCCTGTCAGAGTGCTAATTCTGGCACCCCTGACCGGAGTGTTTGTTCGCTTTCAGGTGACTAGCAGAGGATCACGATCGTCCCCCA